TGAAACAATAGAAATAAAACAAAAGGTTGCTTCCTTCACCCTACTGGGTGAAGTCTACTGTCCCACCTAGAGGCACTGACCCCACTTAGGCTATGTCTACACTGCCAGGTTATTTAAAAATAAGTTATTTCAAAATATTAACTCCCAAAATAACTATTTAAGAATAAGCTTATTCCTCTTCACAAGCAGAAGTTATTATTTCCAAATAACTAGCCCCTTATTTTGAAATAACAGGTTTAATATTGTGTGGATGCTTTGAGATAAGGGGAGTTATTTTGAAATAACTCCACAGTGTAGACATGTCTTTACAGAAAGAATAATGAGTCTGCTCTACTGCTTCCTTGCAGGATCACACTCACATTGTTCTCCTAGCTGTCTACTTGTTTTCTGGTTCCTTTCACACACTTTCAGACAACTGTAACCAGAATCAGTACCTCACTTCTGTATTTGCATTATTTCCAGGACACTCCTCTGGTCACAGCACTCATCTTCTGTTTAGGTCTTTCCATATTGGCTGGTGCCTTGGGCTGTAGCTTTTATTGTTTCACCTCTCACTAAACAAAGGGACTTTTAATTGCTGGTTCATTTAGCCTGAATTAAAAATAACTAGTGTGCCCATCCTCTTCAACAAGGTTTGTGACTTCCCACAGCCACCAGCACCCTCCACCAAAATAATATTGAGTTATTCATTTCTCACAATTCCTCATAAATTCAGTGAATGTATCTCCACTACCAGATAATAGAATTGTTCCCATTTTACAGATGAGAACCTGAGATAAAGATTTCTATTCTAGATGATAGGAGAAGAACCTATCACCATAGTATCAAAATGCCTTCCTGTGGTGCTTTAAACATAACTTACATCTGCCATGTGGTTTTTCTCTCATTCTCTCCCAATAGAGTCTTGTTTTAGTCACAATTTCTTTTTCTCCTTGAAAGGAGATGCCTATCTCCTAGAACTAGAAGGGACCTTAAAAGGTCACTGAGCCCAGCCCCCTGCCTTCACAGCAGGACCAAATATCATCCCTGAGGGTATGTCTACACTACCCCGCTAGTTCGAACTAGTGGGGTAATGTAGGCATACCGTACTTGCAAATGAAGCCCGGGATTTGAATTTCCCGGGCTTCATTTGCATAAGCGGGGCACCGCCATTTTTAAAACCCCGCTGGTTCGAACCCCGTGCAGCACGGGGCACGAAGTAGGTAGTTCGAACTAGGCTTCCTAGTTCGAACTACCGTTACTCCTCGTGGAATGAGTGAGTAGTGTCAAAGAGACCTCGAATAATATGAACGACGATAACATGGAGGTGTGAGGGATCACCTCGGAGATCTCCAGTACCGCCGTGAGGGTGTGTGTTGATAATAGTCCCGCCTCCCGTGATGAGGTGAGGGTGAAGGTTCCAGTGAAAAGACGGCCCTATCCAGACTGGGGGAAGGTGTGCATGCACGGCGCATTTTCCTCTGGGCTTTAGTTGGTACTCTAGTAGATGGGGGGGCCGTGGGAACCAGACTGCCCAGAACAGAGATGACAGAGGCAGACTCAGATAAATCCCTTGGCAGGGATGGTGATCTGGGTGTCGAGGTTGGCAATGGCGGTGCAGTGTCCTCCCCTTAAGTGCCGGATTGTTGGGTTTCTGGTATTGGGCTCGACTGAACCATTGGTACCAGGTGTCTTGTCGGTGCCGGCTGTCCATGCGAAGTCAGTGCGGAGCCGCGATGTAAGTGCTTTGGTGCCGGTTCTCCACGCACCTGCCGTGGAATCAATTCACGGGGTCCTGTAAGAAGGCGGGGTGGTCTTGGCATTGTCTCGGCCCTCGGTGCCAGCTCAGGTCTCGGCGCTGGCTCAGGTCTCGGTGCCGATGCGCAAGAGGTCGTACTCGGCCAAGGAGTATAACGCTCAGTGCCGACTGGGGTCTCAGCACTGTAGACGGTGCTGCTTCAGGCTCTGGTGCCTTCTGCACACTTGGTGCCATTGCCACCAGTGCAGATTCGGGGCACGTCACCGCACGAAAAGGGAGTTACTCACCTCGTGCAGTAACGAGTGTTCTTCGAGATGTGTGTCCCCGTGGGTGCTCCACTGTAGGTGAAGGGTTGCCCTGAGCCGCAGATCGGAGCTTTGTATAGCAGTTTCCCCTGTTGAGCCACGCATGCCCAGGAGGCGTCTCGAGCCCTTCCCGCCTCCTGAGG